ACCTTATTTGTATTATTACTGGACAGTTTGAGATCTTACAGTAACTTATCTTCTGCAGAAAGTTATTTGCCGCACTTAAAACCTGGTGGACAAATTCACCCGGAAAAAATAAACTGGTGTCATCCGTGTAAATGATAAAACCTAGACTGTATTTAATATTTACTGAGTTATTTATGTACAAGTTAAACAGAAGGAGTCCAAGGGAACTCACCTGCGGCACCACTGACATGAGTTTCCTTAAGCTAGATTCCTGACTTTCTGTCACGACACACTGATGCCGATAATGTGAAAAAAATGCTCTCGATCATCGTTGAGGCTACCCCTTGCATTTAATTCCGCATGCATTTAATTTTAGAGCATATTTCAATGTATTAGGTTGTAGAAAACTTTGAAAATCAATAAAAAAAAACCCAAGGTAATCAATTTCTTTTTGGCATTGTTTAAAATTAGCGATTTTTGTTTTAATAGCGCGATTTCCGTTGAATTCTCTTTCCTAAAACCAATGGGCAAGATGTTAAGACATAGTTTTTATCACCAAAGGTGCATCATCTGGCGTGTACATTTTTCTGTAGCCATTCTGAAAGCACTTTCACCAGAGGAAGAGGTCAGTAATTTGATTGGCTGTTTTTATGCTCAGACTTGAAAATAACCGTAACCTTAATTACATTCATCTTTTTTTTTTCGTTCTATGATACAAGGTAACTAGCGCAACTGAGAAGATTAAGATATTTTGTCAACAAAAGGAGAAATTTATAATATTGTGAATCTGGCCTACAGGATTCGACGCAAAGAGCCTGTAAAGCCGCGGAATTAAAACTGCACGCTTCCAAAATATTAATTACTGTCTTTTGATTTTTTATGACTGTCATCTGAAATATTCTCAGGAAACATTGCGATGTCTGTTGTTGTTCTGTTATTTTCGGATATTCGCACGTCGTTGATACCCAATAAATTTGGGGATGCGCAAGATAAAATGCACACGCTCACGAAGTCTTATTTGTACTTGATTGGTTTAGTCTGTGATACCATACCTGTAAAGGTGATTAGCGCCCTGACAATGCGCGTTTGGTATTGCTTGATTGGCTCTGCCGGTAGCTGCGGTGGGACTTAAAGTTGAACGGAGTCCACAGGCCACCGTTGATGGCGAGTGATATTTAGTACGGCACACTTAGTCCCTGGGTGACAGGGGGCGCCGTAGTTGGTTCCTTTATAAAGCCTCTACCTCCTTATGTGTAATTACGACACCACGGGTGAGAGACGAAAGGTGTGGGCGCATGGTAGCTGCTGCAAGTTCATAATTGTAGATTTACCTGAGCCCCTGGTGATGACACAAAAATAAAGTTGGAAAGATGTCTCGAACGCAGCTCTCATTTTATTGCCACAAATCCATTTAAAGGGGCTGTGCGACAATTTTCAGACTTTGGCCAATTAACTGCGGAAATTATTCGCCGTCACCTATGAAATGAAAAGCAGAAAACCGTATTTTCTTGCGAGCGCTACTTCTAATTTCAGAAAAACAAGGAAACAAGTCGAAGGTCAATGTACCTCTCTACTCTCCACGTCAACTTTCGAGTGACATACTCTGGGGGTTCACGTAGTTTCTCCTTGGGTCCTCTCTTCAGGGACCAGCCGCTTCCTCCGCGATTGTCCACTTTTAAAGGATCAGCATCGTCGAAGGTCGCGGCGAGCAATCGACACAAAGGACAATTCGCAACGGGGCTGATGGCGAGTGTAGCAGCGGAGGGGGACAGGTTTTTTTTACTTCCGCGTATCACCCGGAGACGGTGTCCTTTAAGTTTCCGTGACCCCGGCAGGCGGCTGCAGACCAAAAATAATTCGTTTTTTGCTTTGCGATTACTCTGCAGAATAGCATTTTTTTGAGGAAAGGTGACACGTTATCGGTCACTAGTGCTTGCATAAACAATATAAAAAATGTAAACCGCCAATTATTGCAACATTGAAATCATTGCACTGCCCCTTTAAGTACGGTCTAAACTAGAAAAGACAATGGGGAAGCCGGGGAAAAGGGGAAAGAATCGCAAATTATATACTCTCAGGAGTAAAACACACAGTACGAAAACCAAGTATCTCTGTCAGTTTGAGGTCAAAAAGGTGGTGAAGCTAGATGCTCGAAACGGTACTTCACAGACCGAACAAGCACATGCGAAACAGGCTACTTCAAAGCTGTGTGTTCAAGAAAAGCACCCATTTACACAAAAACGTAAAATTTGCTACAAAAGACCAACACAAAAACGACACAAGTTTTATTAAAAATGTTCTCCTCCCCTCCCTTCACACAGAAGTTATACGTCAAGAGATATTTTCTATACGGCCTCCAAACATAGGGACGACTTATCCACTGTGTTTCTATGGTTTCCTTTCATAATTGACAATTTTAAGCCATGTTTCTAGCCATTTTTGTCTGTTAAAATCACAGAGGACGTGAAATTTTGCAACGGTACCAAATTTTGATTTTCTTGGGCGTGCTTTGAAACCCCCAATACGGATCCTTATCGTGGACATGCACCGTCTATGTTTGGTCAAACGGTCACTGACGCTGAGCGTGGGCTGATCAATATAGCACGAACGAAATTCAGATGTGATTTTGTAGACAGTCCTTGAAACACGCGCGAAACGTTTTTCTTCGAGTGTGTCTGTGTGTTTTTTGTAGGCAACATATTGGGCCGAAGTGGACGAAGTCGATCTTTTCAAGGTATCGTCTAGGATAAATGCCGCACGGGGACCAAATTCAGGGAGATTTGAGGTTATGGGGTACTCAAAGAAAAAACGTGAAGACAGCATGCTTTTCCTGCCCGGAAACTCTTTTAGCCTTTTTTTTTCCTCGGAGAAAACTAAGTAGCAAAAGTGCTTGGTCAGAAGCTTTTGAAGGTATTTTACTTCGTTGAGACGGCTGAACAGAATTTTGAATAAACTCCGCTATAGCGCTAGCACCGAATTTTCGGACTGCGTTACTTATCAGATTGCGAACCAGACCCGACTTGGCAGTTTTTGAATGGCAGTTGGTGTGAAGGAAAGGATTGGTCTTGCCGTCGCCTGCACGTTTGTGAGGTGACCTCTTTTTTATATGTTTGTTCGGACTGTGAACTATGGGTTGGACAATTCAGCTTCACCATCTTTTATAGCGCAGTAATAAGGCGCCCATTTCGGGCTTGAGTGGCGTCGCCGTCGCCGTCGCCGTCGCCGTATGCGTAACCGCACGCTGCATTATGGGTGAATTTCACCGGTAAATCCAGCGTAAAAACTTCCCCACTAAATGTACGGGAAAAATTTTTCCGCTAAATCTAGCGAAAAAATTTCCCCGCTAGAATTAGCGGGAAAATTTCTCTGCTGAATCTAGCGCAAAAATCACGGCGGGGGTCATGTAACCCCCGTCGTGGTCACGTGACCCCCCGAAGTCACGTGACCCCCCGAAGTCACGTGATACCCCGAGGTCACGTGACCCACGAAATCACCTGACCCCCACGTGACATTGGGAAGGGAGTCACGTACCTTGGGGGTCACGTGACCCCCAATGTCATGTAATTACACCCCAAGGTCGCGTGACCCCCCTCCCCCCGAGAACACGTTACCCTAAGTACCCTTCCCTCCTCCTCCTCAAAAGCTACGCTCTAATTCGGCGTTACAGGGAGTTGTAGACGGCTGTCATTTTTTTTTAGCTCAATCTGCCGGATAGACTTCGTGTTCGTACCTTGTGTTTTGTCCTTGAGAGTGTGCCATTGGTGTTTTTTTCCCCTTTTCCGTGGCTTCCTTTTCTCTTCTCATGTTCAGGGAGGCCATATGTAAATGGATTTGTAGATTCAAATAATGTTCTACTGAACTCGTTTTATTTTTCTGAGGGACTACACAAGAATGACGACATTAAAACTACGAGGAATGTTCATGCGCCCTAACCGGGCGCTGCTCGCAAGGCGTCTGCTTTCTTCTCCTCTCTTCTCTCTTGCCGTGGGGCGACTTGAGTTGTTTAGTCTTCCCTCACGGAGGTCTGGCCGTCTGGCCCGCAACCGGGCCCCCGAGCTGGTGTCGGGTATCCCCGGTGCGTGCCAGCCTCCTCCGCGGCTCGAGGGAGCGTGTTGCGGGCAAGACGGTGCTGTCGCTGCAAGCCTCTAGATTCAATGGCAATAATATTTCAGCTTTATTTGAAGCATAATTTTTTTCTTCCTGCCGTGTTTTCTGCCTTCATTGCAGCCTCGGTTAATTATACAATTATGTAACGCAACGTATGAAGAGATAGCTGAGCTTGCGATCGTGTCAGAATTTCGGGGAGATAGGAATTGATAGAGTAAATGCCGATATAAACCTTCTCCTTCGTTATTAACTTGAGGCGCCACAAGCGGATACTTAAAATTTAAAGCTTCAAGGCCCTACACCGGCCCATTAAAAAACTGAAGCCAAGAAAAACTTATCATCAAACCGTGAATGTAAAGAGCTCTCTCCACTCTTGAAGAATTTAAACTTGCCTTAATAATTCTGATCAATCCGAAGTTCAAAGGTGTATGTTGAGTGTGCAGTGAATCCGAAACCAGCCAATGCTCCCCCAACCAGCACAGAAATTCATGACGCACGCATGACACACGTAAGGCTCATTCTGTGTTCACCTGGTTTTCTCAAAATTATCAAAGCAAGTTTAATTTTTTTTTCACCCAACATAATATTCAGAAAACTAAAAGCTTAAACGTATTATTTTTACTATTAAAAAAAAGCCCGCTTGCATTGCATACATTTTTTACGTGCCTGTCATTCTTTCGTAACCAATGTATTATTTTGCATGGCTAAACCAAAATACCAATCCCAATTTTTTTTTCTTTACGAATGTATAGTTTTATATTCTTATTTTGGGTACAACCTTTCAGTTATATGAACCTCTGCGTTACAAATATGAAACAATTACAAATCGGGTATAGGGCACCCAAAGAACGGTGAAAAGTTCTTCATCGGTACACATTCCCAATAAGAATCTTGCGTTTTTCAATTTTCTTCAGACTATCTACCTGTTTCCGATGAGATGGATGAATCATTAAACGAACCACATGAAGACCTTAAAAATTTTGTGGATTATGAGAGTTCAGCAGAAGAAACGAGGGATGCGTCACCACGGAAACGGAAGGGCATTTTCTTACCTTTTCTCCCAGAAAACTTGAGGGAAAGAAATATATCCTTAATTACTAACCAACAGTGCGAACGACAGCTTCGACATCTTACCCCAACTGTTCCAAAGTACGTCATATGCTCCGAAGAGGGAATGTGCATAGTAAGTATGAATTATTGTATATTTTCCTGAGAATAAAATTTATTTGGTCGGCAGCTGCACAAAAAATTAAATGACCCCTCGTGCCATGAGTCCCTCACATGCATTCGAAACTGAGTTGAACTATGTCTTTTTCGCCTGAATATATCTAAAAAAAGTTTTACCTGCAGCTTTGGGTGTAAAAAAACTAAGAACTGTACTCAACTCGGAAATGCGACATATTGGTTCAGTCTCCCGCTGAATGAAAGTTTGTTAATGAAAACTTGGGATTACAAAAGAGGCATCGGAACTTGTGTTAGAACTTTTTGAAACTGTATTGGCCTGATCCCTTCTAAAAGAAGCTGAAAACGCTATGTTGTTTGCGTACTTTTATTCAGTAGATGTTTCGCAAATTGGCAAGTTAACATTGTGACATTCCTGGCCCCAGACTTCGAGAATGTATCAAATGTAAAGAAATCTAAAGAACTGCACAGTGCTCACCTTACGTAACAGCTGTTGATAAAAACGGTTGCAGTCCTTATTGAAGATTAGTACTAAACCATAAAATAAATACGTATGATGAAAAAAAAATTACGGGCTATCGGCCGAGATAAAGGACTCTGAATCGTGGAAATCTGAAACTCAATTGTAACAGTACGCTAGTTGTGCTATAATGGATAACCTCAAAAGCAGGACGTTACTTGTATAATATACTTGCAGGAAATGAACAACAAATAGGGGCTGACGTCCACCTAAGCTTCATATTTATAAAAGCAAAAATAAACATCTCAAATGCCGGTAGCAGTAGTTTAGTATTAAATGGACAAACTTATAAAAAAAAAAAAAGAACAGCAAACAGTGCTTTATTTGATAAAGAAAACAGCTCAGAAAACAGAATACGAGGAGGAGCATAAACGAAAAGACAATGCTGTATGTTGTGCATGTTCCTCTTCGTAGTCTGTGTTTTCTGAGCGGTTTCCCCATCATTAAAAACGTGCACCAACTGGCCCAATTTACCAGCTTATTATTGTTTTACTTGCTGACAATTCTTAAATAAATTCAACAAACGCCCACAGTGCAATTTCCTTGAATTTACAAATATTTGGCTTTGGCGGGCGTCGGCTCACAAACAAATTTAATTTTTCTCTTGTTTCATTTCATGAAGCTAATGCGATCTCAAAATTTGGCGTTTTCTCATTAGCACTAGCGTTGCATTGTCATGAAGTTTCAACTTTGGGCGATGCTTAGTTTATTTGCACAGCCCCGAAACCGAGTGCCGCTTTTTTCAATATAACCCAGTAGAATAGTGATACCAGACCGAGGGTGAGCGCCCTTAGCTGTCGATCCGTTTCAGTGAAGTATTCACGATCTGTTGCAGCAACCACTAGAGGTGGCCAAAGCGTACAATTGTGAACGTCAAAACAAAGAAACGAACATATTTAAAAAAAAAAAAAAACTTCAAATAGAAAGCGTTATAATTGGAGGCCCTTCCGAGTGTCTTTATGAAGGCGAACGAATATTTTCTGTACCTCAGCAGATGGAGATAGAGAATTATACATGCTATTTGATTTCGATACAAATATACTTGTCTTAAAAATAAAACAAGAGTCGAACGAGTACAGTCTTCCCCATTTAATTATCAGGCTTGGCGGACATTAGATAAGGGAGAAATCGTCACGGCAAGTTAGCTATTTCACTAAAATCTAATATTTCGATTTTAATTATTTGTTTTATGGATGTTACAAACCCAGTATCGGCTGCAAGTAAAACAGGAGGCCACAAAAATTTAAAAGAAATTGCGAAAAGCAATGGCTTGTTAGGCGTGGATCAATCTTCCAATTGGCTTCCTGGTTTTTTTTTTTTTTCCTTTTCTTTAGGGGGGGGGGGGGAGGAGGGGGAATGGAAGGGCACTTTTGAATTTGCGCGAAAATATAACACCGAAAAAATTCAACAATGACGCTTAGGAGAATGCACGTGTTCATTTCAGTCACGTCATTACTAGTTCAGCAGCATATCCACGATGACTGCGCCGTCGACACAGTGCCGTAAGAGTAACGACTGAAAAGACAGCGTCACTCTTCTGGGCGGCTTTGCCGAGCAGGGTTTAGGCGCTCTATAAAAGCCCAATTTTAAAATGTGGCAAAAAAAGAAACTGAAAAAAAAAAGATTTGTTAAAACCATTTTTTTTTAATTCATTAAATTGGTAATGACTCTAAGAGGTATTAGAATAAAGATTGCCATCGTTACATTATTTGTAAAGCCTCTTCTTAAAATTTCGACCTGTACTGGTTAATTATCCTCCTTATTGTAACGTTTCTTTCATGCTATGTACACTCAACTTGACAAGCTGAAACTCAAGACAACAGTCGTGTAACTCTCGCCTTAAAAAAAAAAAAAAAAAAAAAAAAAAAAAAAAAAAAAAAAAGTTGTTTAAGTAAAATGTAAACAACCTGTGGAAGAAAACAGGAATTCGACAGAGTTCAGTCAAAGAAGCCACTGCACCCACTCTCACGTGCTTCCCCCTGCTTGGAGAGGTTGTCGGATAGCACTCGCGAAAAAGAATTTTGTCTTTTTGAAGCACTGGTAAAAACAGCAATGACCTGCGCTTTGGAGTAGAATTGTGGTCCATTTAGCCTCTCCTAAAGGGTTCGAGAAACTGAGAGTCACATGGTGGCATGTCCGGTATGTAATCTGGATAGAGGAAACCTCCCACCCTATCTGAGCTAATGCATCCAGTACAATGATCGCAACATGATGACCAGCGTTGTCGTGTAACAAAAACATACCAGAAGAGAGCGTGAAGCGTCTCTTTTTCCCAATGGCTCTATGATGCGTGTTCAACGGGCCCCTAAATGTAGCTTTTAGCACATGATTTTCAAGCCAGCCACTTTGAATTTTCCCAGAAAAAGCCCTTCACGATCAGGCTCACCTTAAACGGACACCAAATTGCACCTACCATGTTGTCAATGGCGTCCACTATAAACCCGAATTGCGGCGAAGTTGAATAATTTCTCTCTTGTACGTTTGTCTGTACTCATCGCGATAAGTTCAACCTCATCGGTCTCCTCGTTCGCCTGTGCACTTGACACGGCATAAAAGGGTTTCGTTTATTCACGTTTTAGAAATCATTTAATGTACTCTTTTTTTAATTTTTGTAAAACGGTACAGAGTACGTTCGGACTGTTTCATAGTGGTATTGCCGTATACCCCAGAAAGCATTCTATCTCGGTGTCATCATTCTTCTAAAAGAAAACACAATTGATGTACAATCTTTTTCGCATGCAGATTGCAAATTGGTGTCGCCGATCGAAAATGTTGACCTAGGGCGGTAACCGTTTTTATTTCAGCAACTGTTTTTTTTTCTCTAGAAAGCACGTTTCAAAAACGTATACATATAATGAAAAAAACAAATGTTACAAAAAAGTGAAGGCAGTTAGTACGGCATGAGATACCAATTTGCTGCCCTGAATCAGCTGGAGGAATTTGTTCCGATGATATCTCCGCCTATTTATATCAGTTTTCCGAAAATAGTTCAATAATAATTTTTTTTTTTTTTGTTTTCAGGGAGACAGCGGAGGACCGTTTATGTATGAAAAAGAAGGACAATGGTTCCTTGCTGCTATTCACTCTGTAAACGAAGCATGCGACTCTCCTTCTCTGCCATCACACCATATTAGGGTGTCACATTTTGTTCAAAGTTTTATTTTACCCGTCATGCAGGATCCGGAATCAACGAAACATAACTTTTGTATGACGGACGAGGCTCGAAAGGAATGTGTAACTACATTTTATAAGTCTTACAACGTGACATTCAATAGATGATTCAGTAGTAGACGACGAAACTACTTAATTAAAACGTTAACAGGTTACCATATACTCTTGTCATGTATCTTCAATTCACTTCTAGTAATGAACCTTTTAAGCAAGGGTTTGGGAACGAATTGACACTAGTGACAATTAACACACTATACGTCTAAGTTTACTCACGGGTTTTTGTTGATATTGTTGGAACGTTCTTCATTACCCTGTTATATATAATATATGTTCATGTATACCATACACACATACCATGCAACATTGGCGTCTGCATCGGTGCGAGCCTAAGGATCCGCCATTGCCGTCACGGCGGTCTGGCTGGCTGTTTGGTCCCAGCGCCTCTGGCTGCTGCAAAGTCGTCCGCCGGGGGCGTCGTCGTCGTAGACGAACTCTGCCAGCTTTATCGACAGCAGGGAGACGATCGCCTTGTCACGACTGGTGGGCAGAATCCAACCGACGTACGTCGCCGGACGGATCGTGTCAGGGAGTTCCTCCAGTTTCGTTTTCCGAAGGCGAACGTGGCACTTGCACTCCCAGACAACAAGGGCAGCCGTCGCGGTCCTGCGGCACCGGCGACACACCCCCTCGTGAGGGTCGTCGTTGGAGAACTTATGGCGCAGCGCCGGGGATAGGAAAGGGTTGGTCGCGAGGCGACGAACGAGGGTCTGAGTGCTCCTCGGTAGGTCATTCGGCATCAGAGGAACGGGACGCAACTGCTCGTCCAGGCGTTCCTCCCGTTCCACACGTAGGTGCCGCAGGGTTCTCCGCCTTCGCTGTTGAACACTTTCCTTGACGGCAGACGGGTCGGCCGGGCCGGCTGTCTCGCCGGCCGAGTTGTGGAATGCGTTCGGCGCGGATGCCATCTGGCGTACTGCTGCTCGCGCCTCGTTGCCGTTGACGCCCGCACGGGCAGGCAGCTAGGAAATTGCAGCTTGGATGTTGAGATTCCTACGAAGTTTTAAGAGCGCGGCGAGCAACTCGCCAACTATTCTCGTGTACGTTGAGGGGCTCCCGCAGGCTCGTCTGCAACTTTCGTACGCGCGGGTCGATTCGGTGAACAGTAGGAGCCTGTGTGGGATGTCTGTTGGTGCAAATGTCTGAAGAACCCACTGGGATGCCCGGGGGATTGTCACGAATTCCGCTTCCGTAGTGTCGACGTTTTCAGTGGTTGAAAGTAGAGCCGCGTTCGGAATGCCATGGGTGGTGTCGACCCATGCGATAGCCTCTCCTTCGCCGTCGTCGCCGGCTGTCGACAGCAAGGTTTCCGCCATGTCAGTGTAGTTGATGGCGTGCGTAGGCGGTGATTTGTGCGCGACCCTACGTGTGTGCGCTTTGTCAAAGCGTTTGAGTCGTTCGGAGTTAGTCGGTCTAGGTCCCATGTTTCGGGGAGGGGTTTTCCGTCGGTAAGCGTGACCGGGGCTGTCCACGGAGGAGGCGAGTGCGCGTCTGCCGGGCGGACGTCCAGACTGGGGCACACGCGCGGAGCTCTTCTAATAGAGAAAGCCCAGCTGTCGAGCTGCTGAGGCGGTCTCTCTGGCCGAGTAGCGCCCGTTCAGCGAGTTCCGACAGGAGGTTCATGCCGCTGTGTGCGTACAGCTCCCAGAGGTGCGTGCTCTTAGGCAGTCTGGTGACGATGCGGATTGCCTCGCGATTGAGTTTCCCGAGTCGCTCCGCCTGCCTGGGCGTGAGGACGTGATAGGTATAGCCGTGGAGGATACGGGATTCAAGCAGCGACGTATCGAGCTGGAGCGTTTCTCTCTCCCGCGTGCCCCACTGGAGGTGCGTGATTCTATGGATGAGGTGGAGGAAGGATTTGCACGTCAAGACGACTTTCGTCACCCACGTGGTGCCGTTCCCATCTTGATCTATGTAGGCTCCCAGGATTCGTATGGAGGGGTTTCGCCGTATTCACTGGCCGGCCATGCTGAGGGCGATTTGGTTGTGGACCGCTTCGGTCTTTCTGCGGGGCCCGTTGAGAACCACGACGTATTCGGTCTTCTCGGCCCAACGCGCTCATGCCCACATTCCGATGGAAGTCCTGAATGACGTCGAGGCCAAGCTGAATCGTGTGCTCCTGTTGCTCACCGATCCCGTCCTTACGCAGATGGTGACATCGTCGGCGTATACGGCGAAGCGCAGCGACGGAACCGCTTCAAGGAGCGGGGGAAGTCTTGCCATGACCAGGTTGAAGACGGTGGGCGAGAGGACCGCGCCCTGCAATACCCTGGACTGTTCAGTTGATGGGGTCCGATGAAGTCACCGGCGTTGATCTTCTATATTCGGTCGTTCAGGCAACTCTTAACGAAACTGAGAAGGTGGCCGCACACTACGGCAAGCTCTGAGCTCTGGATGACCGCCTCGTGAGGGACGGTGTTGAAGGCCTTGCGAACGTCCACTGCCACCACCGTTCTCTTCTGCAGTTTCGAGTAGGCGTCAAGGACTTGGTGGCGCAACACAAGGAGAATGTCTTGCGTGTTAATCCCGTGGCGGAATCCGAGCTGATATGGGTGGAGCGAGAGTTCCTCTCAAGGTGCCACAAGAGTCGCTCGAGCACCATACGTTCAGTGAGTTTACACAGGTTACTGGTAAGGGAAATCGGCCGGAGGATATTGAGCCTTTGGTTCAGAGCACTGGCGTCCCTACTGAAAAAAACCATTTGGCGCCTATATGAAAATAAACGGGTTCATACCGGTAACAGTTTAACCATACCGGTCACCAGTTTGTCAAAGGCGTCGCCCGTATGGCTCAAAGGGGTCCCCCGTATGAGCCATAACGGTCACCTATTTGGACAAACAGGTCACTCCTTTAGCAAACGGGTCGCTCGTCTGGGCAAATGGGTCGCTCGTTTGGGCAAATGGGTCGCTCGTTTGGGCAAAGTTGTCGCACGTTTGCTCAAACCGGTGACCACGTTGCAAACTGCATCGGTTTAATCAAACGGCTCTCCGGAGCCCGTTTGATACTGAACGTACAGATCGGCGGCGTGAGCACGCCTAGCGTTTCAGCTGTGGCAGCCAATGTTTCCGGAAGGCTGGGAGCGGCGGCTCATCGATTTCAGATTGTCCGCGTAATGCGAGTAATTATATTTATATTTTAATTGCGCTGGTGTTCGCTTATACTGCAACTAAGACTAACATCTTTTTTTTTTGTTGTTGTTGTTTTACGTAAACGCGCGACGTTGGTAAGCCGATATTTTTGACAGAACTTTAAAACTTTGTCCATCTTTGTTGCCTCAATTTACTTATTCAGCTCGAATCTCTCTCGCAGAAGACGCGACCGCGTGAAAGAATGTACGTCTAGACTCCGTTTCACTTTAATTCAAGACGCAGCGAAGGTAGCACGCGTACACGCGGCTGCAAGAACATCGAGCATTGCGAGAGCACGGCCGCCGTTGCAGCAGTCAAACGACGAGCTCGCGCTGAGTACTTTCTTCGCTCGGGCGCAAGCCGAGCCTCTGGCCGCCCGCCGCCATTTCCAAGGTTCAAACGTGCTAAAAAGCGCGCGCGCGCGCGTATTTTTTTTTTTTTTTCGAGGTTACAAGAACACATTTCTCTGGAATGCCTGGGGACAGGGAGAGCGGCTGTCCCTGTGGTTCTCGCCCCCTCCCTCCTCTCTTGTCACCCGTCACGTGACCCGCACCCGCGCGCGAGCTACACGCTGATAAGCATTGAGATCCGGAAGGGTGCGCCTAGCAGCCGCTTTTTTCTTTGTCTGCTTGTTGTCAGTTCCAGCTCGAACTTAGCGCGTCCACCCGCTTCGATCTGTCGCCTAACCCTGCGGTCTTATTGGGATGTCTCTCGACAACGTATTGGGTGTGCACCAAAGCTATCAGTGTTCGAAAAGTCCTACGTCTATATCGGCAACAAGCGATTCTTCGAAGAAGTCAGGAATTCTTGCGGTTTGGTTGGGTTCGGCAACTGACAGCTTGTACGCCACATCGTGTTGAAACATCCAAGAAGCCGTTCCCTCTCATTTGTGTTTGTGTGGTTGTCCTGCTTTGACCGTGTCGACAACTATCACGAATTACATCTTTCAAGTCCGCTATTTTTATGGTAAGTGCACTGCAACTTACTTCTTGGCAACGATTGACCGTTCTTCTACTGGTACTCTTCCAGATTATCTATATAATTATGCAGCCATTATTCTCGCGGCAGCCGGGCGAATAATTTCCCGAAAGTCTAGCTTCATATTCTAGAATTACCTCGGTTCTTGTTTGGTTTGCTATCTTCTCAGTTGTATAAAAGCTTAGAGTGCCTCTCACATTTCACAGATCGCTTGCACGTTTGTACTTGTCTACAGAAGACGTATTAAACTTTGAGGAGAATTGAAAACAATCTTTTGTGTCGGTTTTCCTGTCCATTTGCAAGCACCTACGTGAGCACATTTGTTCTACGTGTTTCCTGCATGTTATAAATAGGTTTATGAGTTTCGGAACGTCTTAAATAAGTTTAAGATAACCAACCTACCAGACGATCCCCGTTTAGGGCTAGCGCATAATTTCCCGAATCGAATGGCACGTTCAAACGTGTGGTCACGTGCAAGGTCGAACGGGCACCTGTATCAAATGGGTACCGTTTCGAGCGGGTACCGTTTCAAACGGCTGCCCGTATCCCATAATCACGTTTGATCCAAACGGGTCGACAAGTTTGCACCCGTTTGATTTACCAGTTTGCCACCCGTTTGAATTTCAAATGTTTTTTATTTTTTTAAGTAGGGGTACCAGCGGCGCGGGTACATAAGGATTGGATTGGATTGAAGAAATAATCTGCCTTAGTTTATATTAGTACTTTTATTACTCAAATTAGTTTTAAAACATTTAAAAGCATAAAGAATTACCATGATAAGTTTATGTCTTGTTAAGAAAAACATTGTTTTTCCGTCGTTCGTTGTTTTTCTGCACTCTGGCTTGCAGCTACGAAATTCAATCCAATCCGATGTCAACAAAACCGAAACCGAAACTACCGCGGTACACGGCTCAAAGCTCGGCCTCGCTTCCCATGGATTTGGTT